GGGCTGTGAATAAACAACTTGTGTTTTACTTTTAGGCTGTCTGAAGGTATGGACAGCTATCAAAGCTACTATACATCACATTAAGAACGATGAACAAATGAAAGTCGGACACAAATATATAATTTAAATGATTTATTGAAGTTTGCAATGTTTTGAACAGGCATCCACACAGTCACCTACTTTGTAATGTTCGATACCTCCCTGTAAGCGTCACGATATCGGCCTCTCACCCACAACCTCACATACGAGTACTGAATGTGCAGCAAAGTGATCTTAGGAAGGCAGATATAGCAAAAGATGAACGTAAACGACAAACGATGTTTCTTTCCTGGTAAGTCAACAATGGGTCCTCAATGTACACGCCCCGGATTCCTATGACGAAAATAATAGAATGTCGCCAGTTGTCATGACTCAACTTATACTGCAACACCGGTCCCGCATGCTGGCTCTTACGGAACCGACTAACTCCCCTTTTGTGTATGGACCTGTTGGAGAGTGTACCTTGTTGTTGTTATCATTCTAGCTTGACAGTAGCAGGTAGCAAGTTATTCTTTCCTCTGTAAACCTAATGGAAAATAAAGTGTGGAGTTCCATACTAAACACGCCGCCTCCGACCCCCATTCATCGGCTCTACAGTGTCTTTTTGTTGTTGTTGTGAAATTCATAATTTGAAAAATGATTGATTCGAAAATAATATGCTATAGTAGAAGTACTTCTGGGTCTCTGTTTCATTCAACCTCGGCTCTGCGTGTGTGCGGCACGAGCCATTTTGTGTGCTTGCGCGAGAGAATGAATGAAAAACAGGTATGAAACAAGAATAGAGTTTAAAAGGCGAGTGATTTGTAAAATATGTAAAGAAATAGAAAATCTGTTTACAGTTCTGTTTCATATGGGTGTTGAGACATGTATCCATAGATCTCTTCATTTTGCTCTCAAAGTGCACCAGATTGATGCATTTAACTTCAATATAAAAAAAAGGAAATGGGAAACCCCACATGTTTGAGCACCCTCTATGAAACGTCAAGCTACCCCACAGCACTCCAAAAAGAAAATCTCTGGCGCTGCCACTGCGTGGGTTACGTTAAAATGTGCAACCTGCACGCGCTGCCACAGTGTGCATCAGGAAATAGCACAAATCACATTTCTGCTGTTCTGCCGAAGTGGACCTGAAGAACCCTACTCTGGAAGACACGTCATAATACACAGGACATTTTAGCCTTTTCAGACCATTTAAATGCAAATAAAACCTATAGAACACACTACTGGAAAGGGAGGACCCCAAAAAGCAGAATAGGGCCTCTTCAATGTATATATTTCTGTTAAACATGCTTTTTTGTTTGTGTGTGTTTTTCAGGTGAAAGGATGGAGACCCACAGCCAGATTCTGGACAGGTTGCGCTCGGCGTTTCGGTCGGGTATCACGGTACCAGAGGCGTTCCGTCAAGCTCAGCTAAAACAGCTAATGTCCCTGATGACAGAAAATGAAGATCAGATTTTAGATGCACTGAAGAAAGACCTCTCCAAGGTACAGCACTGCTCACTCACGTGACACACGCACGCACGCACACACACACACACACACACACACACACACACACACACACACACACACACACACACACACACACACACACACACACACAGCTACATAAACAAACCACACATCTTTACACAACCAGCTAAAGGCCTGGCAGCGTGACGCAGCAGCCGTCCTGATGATGGTTAAACTGAACATGTTCTATAGCGGCTCTCAGCCCCCACCCTGGAGACCGTAGGGTGAGTCAGCATTTTACAGTGTTTTTTAACACTAGTTAGATGCCTGAAATTAAGCTTGTAAAATGTCATTATTACAAGCTTACAATTTGTTTTGATTTTGTTCTCCAACATAAAATACGTCCTTAAATACCAGACTGGAAAAATCCCATTAGCTTTTTGTCAAGGCTGCCTCTAATACTTTCTAGAGCAGGGGTGTCCAAACTACGGCCCGGGTGCCAACTGCAGCACCCGGGCCTATACTTTTAGGACCAAAAGTATAATGGAATATGGCCCACACCTGAAACTTGTGCTTGTCTTATATTGTACTTCTTAAATAGATATATATAATATATATCACACAGTAGTGTTCATGTGGTTATAAGCCCACTTTTCAAATACATTCAGTCAATTAAAGCTAAAAACATTTTTATTGATGCAAAAAAGCCCAACATGTTATTAGCTAGCTTGAAATATACCCTTCATATTTCCCCTTATTATAATCAATCTGAAGCCTCTGTTTTAAGGAACGAGCTGCTAACACTTTTTGTAACTAAATAAATGAAACCCTATGGAGAGCTGTTTATTTTCTTAAAGCATATTCAAGTATCGAGCCCTTTGTATGTTTTTCTGTATGTGGCCCTCAGTGAAAAATGTTTGGACTCCCCTGATCTAGAGCAGTGTTTCTCAAACTTTTTCATACCAAGGACGTTGTTAGGCTCGTCTGGGCTTTTTTTGTAAAAATTCTATTAAAACATGAACCTTGGTGACCATCGGGCTGGCCTGCATGGTCTGCCTACAAAACAAAAATAAAAGAATGTTTTTGCAGCCCCAACAACAGCCTGTGATCATCAACAGACTTCATGCAATGCTTCATTGGATGCATATTTAGATAATAATCTCTATCTCACTCCTAAAACATCTAAATCTACTTCCAGCATGGATAAATGTTCATTTCAAATGTGAAATTTTACCAATACACTCACGGACCACTGGGGGGCGTTCACAGACCACACTTTGAGACGCACTGATCTAGAGGAACCTCCCCCACCAGGTGAACCTGTGGACCCATTCTCTAACACCCCCCATGCGGGATACCCACTTAAAGTTTCAGCCAAAAGGCGATTTTGTCGAGGGAGCCCTTGTGATGCTCACTACTAACGAAGTGAATGATGGAAGTTAAAATGCGACCTACTGTAGGATGTATCTTCCCTTTATAGCTGATCATTATTAAGCTTCAGTTTGGGGGTTTGGAGCCCTGAATATTATGGAAAACTAACCTGCCTCTCTTATTGTTGTTCTTGCACTTCAGCCGAAATTTGAGTCCATCATAGCTGAGGTGGATATGGTGATCAATGAGCTGCACTTCACCATCGCTAACCTGAACAGCTGGATGCAGCCGGAGTACGTCAGCAAGAACCTGGTAGGGTTAATATAGCATTTATTAAAACTGGCTGTTGCAAGGCAAGTTTATTTATGTAGCACCTTTCAACACAAGGCAATTCAAAGTGCTTTACAAAAATGAAAGACATTAAGAAAATGGCATTTAAAATCAGTCATTAAAAAGAAAAGCTAATAAAATAAACATTAAAAGACAAAATACATGGATAAAAGTTACAGTGCAGTTTAAGATATGAATAGTTCAATTAAAAGCAGCGACAAAAAGAAAAGTCTTCATCCTGGATTTAAAAGTAGTAAGAGTTGCAGCAGACCTGCAGGTTTCTGGGAATTTGTTCCAGATATTTGGAGCATAATAACTGAACGTTGCTTTACCATGTTTAGTTCTGACTCTGGGGACAGAAAGCTGACCAGTCCCTGAAGACCTGAGAGATCTGGATGGTTCATAATTTAGCAGGAGGTCAGAAATGTATTTTGAGCCTAAACCATTCAAAGCTTTATAAACCAGCAGCAGTATTTTCAAATCTATTCTTTGACACACAGGAAGCCAGTGTAAAGACTTCAGAACAGGAGTGATGTGATCCACTTTCTTAGTGTTAGTGAGGACTCGAGCAGCAGCGTTCTGAATCAGCTGCAGCTTTCTAATTTATTTTTTAGTGAGACCTGTGAAGACACCATTGCAGTAGTCCAGTCTACTGAAGATAAAACCATGGACAGCTTTTCCAAATCCTGCTGTGACATTAGTCTTTTGATCCTAGATATGTTCTTTAGGTGATAGTAGGCTGATTTAGTAACTGTTTTAATGTGACTGTTGATATAATTATTATTCGGTCCTCGAAAAAATGTATGATTGTAAAGTGTATATATACCCACAAAAAATGGTTTTCCTTTGCTCTATAATTTATTTGTCTTTGTCTATTTTCAGGCCACAAAGCTAGATGATTGTTTTGTGCGGAGGGAGCCGTTGGGGGTGGTGTTGATCATCGGCCCATGGAACTACCCCCTGCAACTCCTCCTCTCACCTCTAATCGCAGCCATTGGTGCAGGTATGGTCCACACCCGTATCACCACAGTATTACCATATTACAGTTTTCAAAGCAACTAACATACGCATCAATACCGCAGACACGCCTATGGGAGAAAGACCCTCTGATAGGACACCTATTTTACACCTGGGCCACGGCCGCCAAATATACAATATATTGACCTAAAGTGAACTGGAAGTGCGAAAACTCATTTTAGGGTTTAACGACTAATTTCCACACCACTGAGTGTAAAAGTTACTAAATTAACCAGCTAGTCTCTGACTGGACTTTTTTTTTTTTTTTTAACCTTATTACCTAGATAAAGCATTGAGATAGAATCTCATTTAGCAATGCTGACCTGGCCAAGAAGGCAGCAACGTTACACATAACACAAACATATAAAATACAGC